CTGGGCCACAGGGCAGTATTCCAACATGATAATGACCCCAAACACACCTCCAAGATGACCACTGCCTTGCTAAAGAAGCTGAAAGTAAAGGTGATGGACTGGCCAAGCATGTCTCCAGACTTGTGGGGCATCTTCAAATGGAAGGTGGGGGAGTGCAAGGTCTCTAACATCCACCAGCTCCATGATGTCACCATGGAGGAGTGGAAGAGGACTCCAGTGGTAATCTTTGAAATGCCCCAAATTAAGACACAGATTCAGCAAAACAAGCTGTGCAATTTCAAGCTTGAAAACTGAAATACACAGATATTTAATTTGACTTTTTTAATAATGTCAAAAACTAGGAAACATATATAATGGAAAATATTGACTTTTGTGTGGCAATTTTGGTTTCTTAAAATACTACTAAATGTAAAAGACAAACTTACCAAATTCTAAAAGATTTAGCTTTAAACAAGTAACTCTAAAATTATATTGAAATCCTAGATATATGATATACTTCTTAAATCTGCACAAATTAATAAATGTATTTTCAAAGCACATTTCTTGTATGACAAAACTATGGGAAAATGATTTTTTTTGTAATGTTTGTATTTGGTTTTTTTTTAGATCTTGTTTCCATACAAAAGTCTGAAGTTATATATTTATATATTACAGCCTTCTCTGTCCATTAAAAAACTGGAATATAACATGTAAATAATAAAGATAAAAATGAACAGTTGAAAACACACATTGATTGTGTCCTTATGTACAAAGAAGCAAAATGAGGTACTGTCACTAATGGGTTAATTCAACTCACATTCTAAACATCATTTGCATTTGCCCTCGCACTCTGTCATCAGATGTGTGTCTGTCTGTCTGTTTGACTATCTGTCACTCTTTAAGGATAGAGGTATGAGTCTAGTGACTTTAGATATTTGACTTAAAGACCCCTTAGCCAATGTACAGATTGTGTATAAAAAAACAAGAAAAAAATAATGAAATATTACTTACCAGTGCAAATTACATTTCCAAATTGACATTTGCTAGAGTGTTAAAGAAAAAAGAAATAAAAACAAAAAAGTGCTCAGTCTTGCAATATCATAGTTTTAAAAAGGTAAACAATTTTTTTCTCACATTCAGGGTTATTTCCTAAAGTGATAACTAGTGATGTCCTGAACGGTTCGCCGAGAAACGGTTCGCCACGGACTCATTATTGAGTAAACTTTGACCCTGTACCTCACAGTCAGCAGACACATTCCAGCCAATCAGCAGCAGACCCTCCCTCCCTGACCCTCCCACCTCCTGGACAGCTCACTAAGAATGCAGCTTCAAAATGGATGCTGTCCAGGAGGTAAGAGGGTCTGGGTGGGAGGGTCTGCTGCTGATTGGCTGGAATGTGTCTGCTGACTGTGAGAAACAGGGTCAAAGTTTACTCAATGATGAGTCCGTGGCGAACCGTTCGTGGCGAACCGTTCACGAACCGTTTGGCGAACCGTTCGGGACATCACTAGTGATAACTATTGTGAAATCACAATTAATTAAAAGAAGATTTTTATATTTTAGAACACAATTGCCTAACTGTAAATAAAGCTGACTTTGGATTACATTTTAAATTCACAGAAAAACTTACCCCAATACTCACCCAAAAAACCTAATTTTTTTTCAGAAAAATTGTCAGACTAAATGTGCTGCCGTATTGTATGTACACACTACTTTTTCTCTATCTGACACTTAAATAAAGAATTAAAAGACAAACTATATGTGAAACAGGGGGACATAATCTGTTGCTGTTGTGGATGGTGTTTAGAGTTGAGCGATCCTGGACTGTAAAGTTCGGGTTCGTACCGACCATTACGGTTTTTGGACCCCGGACCCGAACACGGACATATCACTGTATGTTTGGGTTGGAGTTCGGTGTTCGGTGATTTAATGGAGCGTTTTCAAAGGCTTCAGGGCAGCCAATCAACAAGCGTGTGACTCGTGTGCCCTTAGAAGCCATCACATCCATGCCTACTAATGTCATGGCTGTAATTGGCCAGTGCTGCATGTGACCCAGCCTCTATATATAAGCTGGAGTCACGTAGCGCCGCACGCACATGAGGTCTTTATTAGTGTAGGGAGAGGATGCTGCCGCTGATAGGGACAGCTTAGGAAAAATTCTGCAAACTAGTACATGAGTGGGGTGCACTTCATATCTGAGAGTCAAATAGAAGCTTCAAATACCGTGGTTACATCGGAGTTTTAAAAAGTAAATTTTTTTGGTGCTAAATAGTACATTAGTGGGATAGTACATTAGTGGGTTGCACTTCATATCTGAGAGTCAAATAGAAGCGTCAAATGCTGTCACATTGCAGTTTTAAAACTTAAAATGTTTTGGGTGCTATTCTGCTAAATAGTACATTTTGGGCACGCACTTCATATCTGAGAGTCAAATAGTAGCTTCTAATAGTGTGCTTACAGCGCAGTTGTAAACATTGTAATTGTTTTGCTAAATAATCTGCTAAATAGTGCATTTTAGGGCCTGCTCTTCATATCTGAGAGTCAAATAGTGTTCAAACTCAAGGAAATCGGTCTAGATGAAAATGCTTGTTCTTGGGTAGAACATTGGCTTAAAAACAGAGTACAAAGAGTTGTCATTAATGGTAAATTTTCAAGCTGGACAGAGGTGGCAAGTGGTGTCCCTCAGGGGTCTGTTCTGGGACCCCTTCTATTTAACATGTTTATAAATGATCTTAAAGACAGCATTGAAAGTCATGTTTCAGTGTTTGCAGATGATACAAAACTTTGTAAAATAATACAATGTGAGCAAGATATTACTTTGCTGCAGAGGGATTTAGATAGACTGGGGGACTGGGCACTCAAATGGCAGATGAAATGTAATGTTGAAAAATGCAAAGTTATGCACTTCGGCGTAAAGAATACACAAGCAACGTATACCCTTAATGGAAGCAAATTAGGGATAACAACACACAAAAAGGACTTGGGAATTGTTATAGACAACAAACTATGCAACAATGTGCAATGTCAATCAGCAGTGGCCAAGGCCAGTAAGGTATTGTCATGCATGAAAAAGGGCATTCATTCTCGGGACGAGAATATCATTTTGCCTCTTTATAAATCACTGGTAAGATCCCATATTGAATATGCAGTGCAATTTTGGGCACCTGTTCTAAAGAAGGATATTATGGCACTAGAAAAAGTGCAGAGACGGGCTACAAAATTAATAAAAGGAATGGAACATATCAGCTATGAAGAAAGGCTAACAAATTTAAACCTATTTATGTTTAGAAAAACGTTGCCTGAGAGGGGATATGATTACATTATACAAATATATTCGGGGCCAATACAAACCATTGTGTGGAAATCTATTCACAAACCAGACTTTACATAGGACACAAGGCCATGTGTTTAGACTGGAAGAAAGAAGATTTTGTCTAAGGCAAAGGAAAGGTTTTTTTACTGTAAGTACAATCCGGATGTGGAATTCTCTGCCTGAAGAAGTGGTTTTATCAGAGTCCATACATATGTTCAAACAGCTACTAGATGCATACTTGCAAAAACAGAATATTCAAGGATATAATCTTTCAATGTAGGGTAATAACTGCTTGATCCAAGGATAAATCTGACTGCCATTCTGGGGTCAAGAAGGATTTTTTTTCCTCGCTTGTTGCAAAATTGTGCTTCAAACTGTTTTTTTTGCCTTCTTTTGGATCAACAGCAAAAAACAAATGTGAGGAAGGCAGAACTTGATGGACGCAAGTCTCTTTTCAGCTATGTAACTATGTAACTATGTAAAATAGAAGTGTCTAATAGTGTGCTTACAGCGCAGTGTGGTAAACATTCTAATTGTTTTGCTGCTAATTTGCTAAATAGTACATTTTGGGGCCTGCTCTTCATATCTGAGAGTCAAATAGAAGCATATAATAGTGTGCTTACAGCGCAGTGGTACACATTCTAATTGTTTTGCTGCTAATCTGCTGCTTAAATTGGAGTTTTAAAAAGTTAATTTTTTTTGGGTGCTAAATAGTATATTTGGGGTGTGCACTTCATATCTGAGAGTCAAATAGAAGTGTCAAATAGGGCGCTTACTGCGCACTTGTAAACATTCTAATTGTTTTGCTGCTAATCTGCTAAATAGTACATTTTGGGGTATGCACTTCATATCTGAGAGTCAAATAGAAGCATCTAATAGTGTGCTTACAGCGCAGTGGTAAACATTCTAATTGTTTTGCTTCTAATCTGCTAAATAGTACATGTTGGGGCCTGCTCTTCATATCTGAGACTCAAATCAAAGTGTCTAATAGTGCGCTTACAGCGCAGTTGTAAAATTTCTAATTTTCGGGGTGCTAAATAGTACATTTGAGGTGTGCACTTCCTATCTGGTGTATGTGTGCAACACTGGCTAGTTACCGCTTCTCAAGAAAGTCTAAAGACAAATAAATGTTGCCTATGGTGCAGGTAGTATAGAAGGCAAGACTGAGACAAATCATTCGGGTTATGTTTTCCTGTTGACATGTTAATTATCTTAGATCATTAACCCCTTAAGGACCGAGGACGGTTCAGGGCCGATTTTCCAGGTTGGATTTTGCTGTCTCTCTCACTCTTTCTGTCTCTCACTGGTTCTTTCTCCCATGGTGCCCCTGTTAATGCTGTAACGATGCAGTCATGCTCTTTTAGCGTTAAGCGGGTCGCGCACGAAAAATGGGGTTAAGTGCTCTGAGAATACGGTAACAGCGCTATAGCGAATCAGCGCTATGCGGGGTAGTGCTAAACAGGGTATATCCCTGTACCAGGACCCTGATGCAACTTCAGTAAAAAGAGTACTGCATACCAGAAGCCATCACCAGACTGATCAGCAACTTGGAACAGGATGTGACATTCACTGTAGCGGCTGTGCGCGCTTTCGGCGTTCTCACCCTGCTGCTGCTCGCCTGTCTGCGCTGCAGCGTAACTTTGGCCTTCTGCTCACTGCCTCATATGCGACGTGTCCACAAGGTGGAACTCCACCTTGCACATGCTGGAGAGACTGTTTGAGCAGCAGCAACAGGCGATAGTGGAGTTTCAGCTGCAGCACGCACGGTCAGTGTCTCTGCACCAGACTCCCTCCAATTGATCAGAGTTAAAGGATTCCAAGTGGACTCATTACAATTACAGGGCCTCTAAAGAGTCCTGTATTGTTATTTGACGTCACTAACTTCCCGCGTCGGGAGTGGGTCATTTGCGCGCCTGCTGCCTTCCTTGCATGTGGTAGCCATTTGTCAGGGTCCCTGTACAGAATCGAACACTGATTCCCCATTACCCGTGGTCACCATGGTAGGCGCAGTCAATGGCATTGAACGTTGATATGGATTGACATACGAATGCATTGTCACCTTCTTGTTGGGGAGCAAATTGAAAAAGTACTCTAGCATGACGAGCTGGGTGATCTCCTCTAGGAACTTGGCTTGATGGGAATTGAGCCAGTTCTGGGTGGCCCTTGTGATGCCACGGTGTATACCCAGATATATCAGAGCTGCTGCAGAAAGTAGCAGAGGCTTGTGAAGGCCTTTTCTCTATGCATCAGGAGTGGAGCATTTCTCCATGCATCAGGACTGCAAGAAATGCACCGCAAGTCGCAAATGTTTCTTTTTTTATATGTCCCAATATTTTGTGGACTACCCCAATAAAAAAACAAAAACAAAACAAACAAATAAAAGAGTGTTGGCTACCTCATCATCCACCGCCGCTTTCACCTACACCGCCATGGTCACCGCCTCCTCAACCTATGGGTCACTTAGTATAAACTATGTACACAATAGCAGAGGCTTGTGAAGGCCTTTTCTCCATGCATCAGGAGTTGAGCATTTCTCCATGCATCAGGACTGCAAGAAATGCACCGCAGGCCGCAAATGTTTCTCTTTTTCTATGTCCCAATATTTTGGGGGCTACCCCAATTAAAAAAACAAACAAAACAAACAAATAAAAGAGTGTTGGCTACCTCATCATCCACCGCCGCCTCCACCTACACTGCCATGGTCACCGCCTCCTCAACCTATGGGTCACTTAGTATAAACTATGTACACAATAGCAGAGGCTTGTGAAGGCCTTTTCTCCATGCATCACGAGTTGAGCATTTCTCCATGCATCAGGACTGTAAGAAATGCACTGCAGGCCGCAAATGTTTCTTTTTTTATATGTCCCAATATTTTGGGGGCTACCCCAATTAAAAAAAATAAAATAAAAAAAATAAAAATAAAAAAACAGTGTTGGCTACCTCCTCCTCCTCCTCCACCGCCACTTCCACCTACACCACCACGGTCACCGCCTCCTCAACCTATGGGTCACTTAGTATAAACTATGTACACATTAGCAGAGGTTTGTGAAGGCTTTTTCTCCATGCATCAGGAGTTGAGCTCAGTATGAAAAATGAAAGAGAATACCCTGCACTCCAACCCTCTCTCAAATGGATAATTGTGGTGATCCTCCTGACAGCCATGCTTTAGATTTTGATTTATGTTCTTCCAAAGCTAAAATCAAAGATTCCATCTAGTGCCTTTTTATGGCTCAGCTGTGTTTTTAATTTTTATGTTATTTTAAGTGATTTCCCTATCCACATTTGTTTGCAGTGCACTTGTTCTACTCTTACCCCATTTTACTTCCTTTTGCACCTCTCTAGCCCTTTCCAGGAGTTTTTTAGAGGCATTTTTGTGACCAAATGTTCGGGTCCCCATTGACTTCAATGGGGTTTGGGTTCGGGGTCAAGTTCGAGCCTGAACGCTGACTTTTTTTCAAAGTTCGGCCGAACCCGCCGGTCCCGAACATCCAGGTGTCCGCTCAACTTTAATGGTGTTATATCCTGAAATGAAGGGTGAACATCCCAAAAGTGTTTGAGTTCATGTATTTAAGCTACACCTATTGCTAGCAGGCCACTTGCAGAACATTGTTGTACCCTGCCATACTGCAAAAATTGTTCAAGAATGGTTTGAAGAACATGACAAAGAGTTCAAGATGTTGCATTGGCCTCCAAATTCCCCAGATCTCAATCAACAGGACAAATTGAGAGATCTTACGAAGCCTGTGCCTCAAAAATCAGAGCTGATTTGACAGCACAAGGCAAACCTACATGATATTAGGCAGGTGGTTTGAATGTTTCAATTTATGTATGTGGTAATTTCAAGTGTTAATCTCCTAAAATGCCCCAAATTAAGACACAGATTCAGCAAAACAATCTGTGAAATTTCACATTTGAAAAATGAAATAGACTGATATTTAATTTGAAGAAAAAGGGGGTATGAATCAGCGCAATCAACGTCAAAAACAATATATGCAGCAATCCTTTAGCAAGAAGAATCTTTTCTAACCCTTCAGAATACATGACAAAAATACAAAAAGCAAAGGCTGTGCCAAGTATAGATATACAATTCAGTGTGTCTAATAATCCCGAAAGTAGTCCTTAAAAAATAAGATAATACCTCTTTTTATTGAGGTAAATGTTGTATAGGTTGGTGTTCTTTATAACTGGGGTTATCTCCTTAGTTCTTTTAAGATATAATGTTTAGAGCCTAAGCCAGCTCTAGCGTGTAGCGCCTGGAGCAGCACAATCCCCACTCAAGGATATATCGTGAGTGTTCCTCAGTTTGGAGATGATCACAGGAGCTCAGTGGGAGAAATTATAAAAAAGGCAACAATACTGCTCTCAGTAAGAATCCACAGATAATTCAAAGATGGAGCAAGCAAACTGCTCTTGATTATATCGTTGGAATAATCCCCAACTAGGATTTTCTTTGGAGTAGTGATGATAAAAATGGATGTAGCCAGGAAGATGTTAGTAAAAGTAATAGTAAAGGTAATTGGCACAATAGTAAGTGTCAAAATATTAACAATCCTTTTTTTAAATCAATACAGGTGTTCTTTATAACTGGAGTTTAGTGATGTGGCGAACATAAAATTTTCGGTTCGCGAACAGCGAACGCGAACTTCTGCAAATGTTCGCGAACGGGCGAACCGGGCGAACCGGGCGAACCGGGCGAACCAGCATAGACTTCAATAGGCAGGCGAATATTAAAACCCACAGGGACTCTTTCTGGCCACAATAGTGATGGAAAAGTTGTTTCAATGGGACTAACACCTGGACTGTGGCATGCCGGAGGGGGATCCATGGCAAAACTCCCATGGAAAATTACATAGTTGATGCACAGTCTGGTTTTAATCCATAAAGGGCATAAATCACCTAACATTCCTAAATTGTTTGGAATAACATGCTTTAAAACATGGTATGATGTTGTAACGATAAGGTAGTGTAAGGGTTACACCCACTTCACAGTGACAGACCAAACTCCCCGTTTAACGCACCGCAAACAACCGCAAACAGAGGCGGCTCTCCAATTAGGCAGTTTAGGCAGCCGCCTAAGGCCTCGCGCTGGCTGGGGCCTCGCGGCCGCCTAAACTGCCTTATGGCAGACTGTGTCAGGTCCTCGGTCAGTGACACCAGGAAGGGGCCCCTCCTGGAAGAGGCCCAACCTGGTTGCCCGGGCACCATCGCAGACACAGGTCTGCAGCTCCGCAGTGAGCTGCAGACCATGTGTCTCGCAAGAATTGGCCAATCAGAGCATTGCCGCGGGTTACCACGGCAACGCTCTGATGGTCTCTGCGGAACTGCAGACTGGAAGAAGTGGCCACTGGACCACCAGGGAAGAGAAGGTACCACCCTCAGCCTCTCCCCACCGGCCTCCCTACCCCCCACCAGCCTCACCACCCTCAGCCTCCCCCCACCACCCTCACCACCCTCAGCCTCCCCCCACCAGCCTCCCCACCCCCCCACCAGCCTCACCACTCTCAGCCTCACCACCCTCAGCCTTCCCATCCCCCACCAGCCTCAGTACCCTCAGCCTCCCCCACCAGCCTCACCACCCTCAGCCTTCCCACCCCACCAGCCTCACCACCCTCAGCCCCACCCCCCCACCAGCCTCGCCTCCCCCCTCAGCCTTCCCACCCCCCACCAGCCTCACCACCACCCTCAGCCTTCCCACCCCCCCCACCAGCCTCACCACCACCCTCAGCCTCCCCACCCGAAGCTAAGCTGGAGGAGGATGGTGCGTCAAGGTTCCGAGCGGAAGCTGTAGAAGATTGGGTGTCCTGTGTTAGCCAGTCAACTATGTCCTCAGAACTTTTCGAGTTCAGGGTACGTGGCCTCTGAACACTGGGCATTATTCTAGGGCCAAAGGGAATCACAGCACCACGACGGCCCCTGCGGGGTGGCCTGCCTCTGCCTGTCATTTTTTTTCGATTAGTGGTACTATGCGTGCAAGCTACTGTGACAACAGATATGAGTGGCACTGTGCAGTGGCAGAAGTTGGCAGAGTAGATGCTGTAGGCCTGACACACACACTTGCAGACAACTAACTGCTATTCAATCTATTACAGTAAAATTTTTTTTTTTTAAATGTACACTACTGTTACACCAGATATGAGTTGCACTGGTGTGACACTGTGCCCTGGCAGGCCCTGAAACGCACACGCGTGAAGGAAACTGACTGCTATTATATTACAGTCCAAAAAGCTTAGTTTTTTTTAAATGCAAGCTATTGGGACACCAGTGAGTGAGTGGTGGCACTGGGCAGGCCCTGAAACACACACTTGTGAAGGAAACTGACTGCTATTATATTACAGTGAAAAAAGTTTTGTTTTTTTTTAAATGCAAGCTATTGGGACACCCAGAGGCGGCTCTAGACTTTATGAGGCCTTAGGCGAAACTCAAACATGAGGCCCCACTAACAAAAAATGATAATCCACACCTAGGAATTTCTTTGGAGTAGTGATGATGAAATGGATGTAGCCAGGAAGATGTTAATAAAAGTAATAATAAAGGTAATTGGCACAATGGTAAGCGTCAAAATATTAAGAATCAACAATCCTTTTTAAAATCAATACAGTAAAAATCCATAACGCGTTTGTCTCAGACTTTTTCAAATGAAATGTAACATTAAACCTGGCTAATAGGCTTTATATAGGAGCGAAATGAATTAAAATTGGTATCAAAACAATGTTAACCAATTAAAAACATGCTATTATACATACTGATAAACCTATTATATTAATATGATTTATTGCTCTTTAATATTTAATAAGTAGTTTGTACTTAAAATATTTTAAAAATGAGGGTGAGAAAGGGATAGATATACAGAAAATAGGTAAACACGTGACTCGTCACTTTGACTTGTGTAGTATCCGTCATCGTTGGCTTATAATGTACAAAAGCCATCGCTGAACGGTAATTTAGAGTGCAATGAGTGTCTATTAAGTGTCTATAGCTGGCCAAGGGGATTAATGACAATAGTTATAAACTTTGTGTTTATTGTGGCCATATATAAAAAGTTAGAATACTCTGCGGCCATATTTTGTATGGCAATTATACAGGATGCTCGACGGCCATATTTTGTATGTTAATTATACAGGATGCTTAACGGCCATACTTTGTATGGCACATATACAAGATATTATGGCCACCTAGTGGTTATTTTCTATATTACTACTAAATAATTATTAGAAGCCAAATTGAAAAGAAAGAGGAAATAAAAATAAAATAAATATGTGGAAATGAAAGGGGAAACTTAATAGTCATAATTGATAACACAAAGTGCTAGAACTTAGATAATCAATTAATAGTAAATACATAAAAATAGAGATATAAAGAATGAGAAAAAATAATTAAAGTATAACTGTAAAATTATTTCTGGCACAATAGTGGGATAGAAGGAAAATACTACAAAGATAAAACATATGGAATAA